TGGACACCGGGGCATCTCACCATATTGCATCCGACCCAGGTACTATTTCTCATGTCTCTTCTCATTCATTACATTCACCTATTCATATCACTGTTGGTCACGGATCCAAAGTTAGCACTACGGCTGTTGGTAACCATTTTTTTCCCACTAACCCTCCTTTATCCCTTAAAAATGTCCTTATCTCCCCCCATATCATACACAACCTTATATCTGTCCGTAAATTTACCCGTGACAATAACTGCTCTATTGAATTTGATACTCATGGTTTTTCTGTGAAGGACCGTCAGACGGGAACCGTGATACATCGATCCAATAATGCCGGCCCACTCTATCCCCTGCGCCCCACTGCACCAGCCCAAGCACTCAGCGCGTCCGATGACGTTTAAACATGGCACCGACGCCTGGGTCATCCCAGTCCAGCAGTCCTTCGTGGAGTCTCAAGTCTTTCTAATTTATTTAAATTTTCAAGTCAAAGTCTTTGTCATGCGTGTCAACTGGGAAAACATGTTCGTCTCCCATTTTACCAGTCTTGTCGTGTCTCTACTTTTCCATTTGAATTATTACATACAGATTTATGGCAATCTCCCGTTCTAAGTGTTACTGGTTTTAAGCATTACATGTTATTGTTGGATGATTATTCGCATTATTTATGGGTGTTTCCTTTAAAACAAAAATCTGATGCCTTTAATCATCTTAATTTTTTCATTAAATATGTTCAAAACCATTTTAACACTACTAACAGAATACCGCAACTCCCCCCTCCAAAATATTTTTGCCTCCTTGGGTATTTTATTCCGCTTCTCGTGTCCCCACACTAGCCAACAAAATGGTCGAGCTGAGCGCACCATTCGCACCATAAATAACACCGTTCGTACCCTGTTATTTCAAGCCCACCTACCACCCGAATTTTGGGTTGAAGCCCTGCATATGGCAGCCCACCTATTTAATCTCCTCCCAACCACCACTCTCCACAATCAAACACCATACACCCTCCTCTTTAAACATCCACCCACTTACTCCCACCTTCGTG